TCAGTCTTACTTCGGTCCTGGGTAAGCTTTTTGAGAGAATTATCCTGGCGCATGTCCACAAGGAGCCAGCAGGGGAGGTTATGCTTAGGGGCAACCAACATGGGTTCATTCGAGGCAGGTCCTGTCAGACCAACCTGGTGGCCTTCTATGACCAGGTCACAAAATCCTTAGACGCAGGGGTAGCAGTGGATGTAGTCTTTCTGGACTTCAGGAAGGCCTTCGACACTTTCTCTCACCCCTTTCTCATTAAAACACTAGGGGACTGTGGTGTCGACACCTACACAGTCAGATGGGTCACTAATTGGCTGGAGGGCCGCACCCAGAGAGTGGTGGTGGACGGGTCATTTTTGACCTGGAGGGATGTGGGCAGTGGGGTTCCCCAGGGCTCGGGCCTGCACTGTTCAACATCTTCATCAGTGACTTGGATGAGGGTGTAAAAAGCACCCTGTTCAAATTCACAGACGACACTAAGATATGGGGAGAAGTGGGCATGCTAGAAGGGAGGAATAGGCTGCAATTGGACCTAGACAGCTTACAGGGGAGGGCGGATGAGAACAGGATGGGTTTCAACACTGACAAGTGCAAGGTGCTGCACCTGGGGGGGAAGAACCAGCAGCATACCTACACACTGGGGAACTCCCTTCTCATCAGCACAGAGGCAGAAAAGGATCTTGGAGTCATTATAGACTCCAAGATGAACATGGGCCAACAGTGTGGGGATGCAGTCAGGAAGGCCAACTGTACCTTGTCATGCATCCACAGATGCATCACAAGCAGGTCCAAGGAGGTGATCCTCCCCCTCTGTGCGACACTGGTCAGGTTGCATTTGGAGTACTGCGTCCAGTTCTGGGCACTGCACTTCAGGAGGGATGTGGACAGCATTGAGAGGGTCCAGAGGAGGGTCACCCACGTGATCAGGGGGCAGCAGGGCAGGCCCTATGAGGAGAGGCTACGGGACCTGAACCTGTTCAGTCTCCACAAGAGAAGGCTGAGACGCGATCTAGTGGTTGTTTACAAACTAGTCAGAGGGGACCAGCAGGCATTGGGGGAGTCCCTGTTCCACCAAACACTATCAGGAGTGACAAGAAATAACGGTCACAAGCTGGCAGAGGGAAGATGTAGGCTAGCTACCAGGAGGCGCTACTTCACAGTCAGGGCGGCTAGGATCTGGAACCAACTTCCAAGAGAAGTGGTGCTGACTCCTATCCTGGGGGTCTTTAAGAGGAGGCTGGATGAACACCTTGCTGGGGTCGTTTGACCCCAGTACTCTTTCCTGCCATGGCAGGGGGTCAGATTTGATGATCTGCTCAGGTCTCTTCCAACCCTACCAACTATGAAACTATGAAAAGCATTCTGGGCCTTTGGGGATGGAGCATGGGAGCTCTTTCAACCCTTCCTTGGAGCTTTGGGAATACATTGTTTATGGAGGAGACATTTTATAACAACTCGATGAACACAAAAGCATTTTTGCAGCCTGAATCCAAACCCATCACTGTCCAGAATGCCAATGGTTTGGTATCACAAGAGGAGGCAAAAAGAGGGGAAGGGGATCTCACAGAGGGTAAACTGAGTCAGTTCCATGATTTCCATTAACATAGGAAGGGATGGGGCAGAGCAGAAAGAGATTGGAAGGTTGTGGAAATAAGGGACTTTCTTCCCATATCCTCCTACTGGTGAATGTCTCTAACCCAGTCCCTTTATCACTACATACTACTCAGAAGAAGCTTATTTTTCAGAGTCATTTGCCCCCAGCAGGACCTATTCCTTACCCAAATCCTTCCTGCATGCCTAGCCTCAGTTCAGCCCATTCCTAATATTCCAGAAACCTTTCCAAGTGCAACCTCTTCTACCCTTCCCACTCTCTTGGGATAACAAGAGTATTAACTTACTGCGTATAAGATTTATCACTACTGACATCACCAGTGGCTGTAACATCATAGACAACCTTCCATTGCCATGGCGCAGTTAAAAAGCACACTGTGTCCACTGGCAGCAGGACAGCATTTACTCTCCAGACTTGGGAGTGTACAGTAGCAGTTGTAAATCTCCCTCTCTGTGATGTCCGTGCAGACTCCTTCTTTGATCTTCATGTTTCCCTCCTGGCAAGGCAGCAAGCCAGGTATAGACCTCCACCTCCCTCTGATGGAAATAACATGATTTTCTCTGTATTTTCTAAACTTTGACAAACTGACTAAAACTGGAGCCCAGGTAGGAGTTTCCTCAGACACTGGAGCAGAAAGATGGGACATCAACTGGTCCAGGGGTTGGATGCCTTTGAGAAACTGTAAATCCTGGTCACAGTTTAGTGGCTTAGACTCATCCCAAGCAGCAGATAGGATTGATGGACAAGACGCTGATCTTGACAAGGCAGCAGGCCAGCTACTTGGGAAACCAAAGAGAAGAGAATAAAACTTGGTCCAGTTTAATAAAAAGACTTGGTGTTTCACAGGATCCACAACAGGGGAATGATGAAAAAGGCCAATCCCCAAGATGTCTCACCTGTACTCTGTATTTTTGGAGGGGCAGAGAATTGTTATTGTTTTGCCCGCATGCCAAGCTCTCTTGGCCTCTTTATGGCCTTGAATCAAATGGAAGTGAACTCACTCAGTTCAAGCAGCAGTTCTCCCTTTCAAGGGAAGGACTGGAGGTCACATCTTGAACCTATCTAATTGAGCTCGAAGTGAGAAAGGCTAAGTTAGGCCATGAGGATATAAAAGATGCCAGATAGAAGAGAAGGAGGATGACAAAAATGCAAGACAAGACAGAGGCATAGGAGGAAGGGAGTGGAGAGGACAAATCAAAAAAAGCCTAAGAAAAGTAGGGACAATAGTAAGAGATTATCTAACATGGTAGATAATTAAAAGAACTGAGTAGACAAGATGAGTGGCAGAGAAAAAAGATGATCCAGGAGGTATGAGATAGGAAAGAAGAGAGAGCCTGAGAGAGAGCAAGGGAAGATGAAGGGAGAGAGACAAAAAACGAGGTTTGGATGTGTAGGGATTGAGAAATGTGCTGTAATGGCACAGCAGATCATGGCTGTCCAATTGGCAGTCCATGGCCCGCTGCTGCCTGGCTGCTGCTTCTTCCATCCCTCCAGCTGCAATAGCAGTAAATTCTCTGTGCTCCCCTTTCTTCTTCCAGTTGCCAGAGCCATGGCAATTAACACTACCACTGCTTCTCTGCTGCCAAGTTTCTGGACCCATGGGGAGCCCCATGGGCCAGATGATACAGCTCTATAAACTGGATCTTGCCATGTGAAGAAATCCTCCTCAGTCTGTCTCACCTCTGTATTAGGACAGCCCAGGCCCCTCTGTTTTTTCCTGTTTTGGTCAACCTGATCAACTGCCTAGTTTTGGTCAACCTAGGTGCCTGGGCTGTAAAAATTCCTAGGGAGGGGGAAGCTCGCTCTTCCTTTGTCCTGAAGCGGGCATTTGGGGAAGGAGACAGGCAGTCATTTGGGGAACACAGACACAGAAGGATGTGCCTCCATGAGAGACAGACTCTCTGGAAGATTTGTAAGTAGAAATCTGGAATTTGGGTATTTAGAACTAAGTTGTCAGCTGTATGTTAAAAGGGCCACAAGCCCATATTTGAAAGGCTCAATTGATTCTGTTTTACTCAAGGCATTTTCTTTTAATATTCCTTTGTCCTGTACCCCTCCCCCATTCTCTCCATCTGTGGTCAATAAAGCTATCTGTTACAGCTCACCTGGCTGTGTACTCTTGAGGGAAGAGGGGAGAGACAAGTTCTCTTTGCTCGGCTGAGTTGAGGGGATTTTGGCTCTTTATTAACTAACACGGTCCTACCTGAGATTATCCTAGGAAGCTTCAGGCTATAAGGAGCACCCAGAGATATTACCAAGGGACCAAGCACCCCCAAAGCTGTCTTTATCTGTGTACCCCGGGCTGCAAAGAGCCTTAACAGAGACCAGTGCCCAGGTGGTGGCAGCGTTACCCCAGGCTTGTGGGTGTGCTCCAGGAAGGGGGATGGCCAGACATGGAGACTCCCAAAGCATGGTTTTGGGCCTGGCACAGTGAGGTGGGTGGCTTAGCATAGTAGCACCCCTTACTGTCCTGCCACAGCCCATAGGCCACTGAGCACCAGTGCTCTAAAGAGATAAACCAGATCAAGGGAGAGGGGCTCTTGGCTAGTGCGGGCTGATCTGCTGGAGCCTGGCCATGTGGGACAGCCCTTGCAAGTGCAGCCGTATGGCTCTGTGCAGTCTGGTGTCCTGAGCCAACACTTGCGGTGTGGGTGCAAGCCAGCTAAGCACTGTGACACCGCTCCCTCATACAGCACTGGCACGGTGTCACACGCCTGTTTCACAGAGCCATGCGTCTGCTGCCGGTGGCTCCCACGGAGTTCCCCGTGTAATCGAGCAAATCCGGGCTGAAGGAGATGAGGCTGCAGGACAGCAGGGGAAGGCGTGAAGGGGCCACGTGACAGGACAGCATGGGCAAGCCTAGAAATTTGCAAAGGGGAGCATGGGCCGCCAAGTTCCTCATCCCCCGGGATCTGATTTAAAAAAAACCCCCAATTTTCGGTTAAAAAAAGGAACACTAAATCCACATTTTTCCGTGATTTAAATGAAATAGATAGATAGATAGATAAACTATCTCTATCTATCTATATCAGTGGTGTTTCATTTAAATCATGGAAAAATGTGAATTTGGGGTTCCTTTTTTTTACCCGAAAGTTGGGGATTATTTTAAAATCGGAGGAAACCAGGATCCCTGCTCCTCACATAACACAGCACAAGCTTTATGCAGCTAAAGAGACGCTGGAAGCGCTGGACTCTGCCAGGGGCCTAGGCCCGGAGGGCTCCATTTAAGATGCATGCAGGGCTTCATTGGGGTGAGGTAAAGCAAGCTGCGGGGCGGAACCGGAGAGCAGCTGAGGGGCAGCGGCAGGGCAGAGCGGCCCCACAGATGAGCCCGTCACCCGCAGCCAGACTACAACTCCCATCGGCCTCCGCGGCCGGGAGAGGCGGATCCCGGAAGTGCCGCCCCACGAGGCCAGCGGATGCTATGATTGGGTGGTGCCTCGGGAATCACATGACGAGGCAGCGGGAAGATGGCGGAGCCGCTAGGCGCCGCGGTCGAGGACCCGTGGGGAAAAGTGAGTCTCAGGGGCTGGACGGTGGCCGGGATGGGACGAAAAGCGGGTGGGAGCTCGGGTGCTGGAGCGGGATCCCGCTGTCCCCGCTCCGGGCCCCCACCACGAGGCGGCGCGGCCGGGCCCGGGGACCCGCAAGCAGGCGCCGCGGGGCCGCCTCAGCACGGGGGTTGAGGGTGCTGGAGACAGCGAGCCACCTCCCAGCCCTGGGGAGCGCCGTGCACGGCCGTCTGCCTAAACAGCAAATAATCATATAATCATATGAAGCAAATAACGGGGGAATTGTCGGCCAGTCATCTCGGTGCAGACACAAGTGCCCAGTCCCTCCCATTAGTCTCCGAGGGCATAAGTGTGCATCCCTGTCAAGACGGTACCGCAGGTTTCCAGAATAAACTGCAGTAAAACAAGGACGTGCCCAGTGTGCTGCTCGGCAGCACGGGCATAGCAAATTGCGCAGCAGCCTTGTTTGAGAGAGCAGCTGCTCTGCAGAGCGGGCTGTGGGGAGTTGACAGGCCATGGGCTACTTCTGTTGCTGACACACAGTGGCGTGATAGTTGATTGCGCAAAAGAGGAAACTGTCTTACTCACTGGCTGGCTTTTTTTCTCTTCTCTTCCCTTTTGCTTACACTGTCATCTGGCAACACAGCAGGTGGACTGTGTGTACAGCGACAATGGACTGGAGGCTCGTAAGTAGCTCTGTGCATTCCTCTTTCAAATATTGTCGGGTCAACTCTGCTGTTGCCAGACAAAAGAGCATAGATGAAACAGGCAGGGCACGCCAGTTTCCTGCATCATTTTAACGCTGGAAACTTAGCGCAAAGAATAATACGTGCGGAATGTAGGTTTTGTAAATATAAGCGGTGCATGGATTAAAACTTTAAGGGCGGGTTTAAATTAAGGGAAAGGGACGACTTGAACTTGTAAAGAATGATAAATGGATGTTTTTGTCTAGCTCTGGGACAGCGGTGCAAGCCAAAACGTGTAAGTAACAACTGGAACGTAGGGAGAAGGAAGCTTGAGATCTGCTGTCACTGCAGTTTGAGTGATCACACCCAGGCTGAGTGGTGCTGGGTGGGAAGTTATTTTTAAAACACACAGTCTCTAATCTGATGATGCCTCGCCATATTTTCAGCTTTTTAAAGCAGAACTAATATCTCCCTTGTATCAGAGGCATGCAGAGTACGGGCCAGATACCTGCTGAATAAGCTTCCCAGCTTGCGTGTTTTGTCCATGTTAAAGATTACAGTGAATCCCATTGGGGTTTAGCTGGTTCCTTCACAGCTCCTGAAAAATCTTTGCTGTCTACTTGTTGCTAAATCCACAAAACACCTACAACAGCAAACAGATACTAATTCTTATAGCTGGCTACCCTGTGCTTTACCCACCTGAGCTGAGCACCACACTGTATCCGTTTGGAACATCCCCTGGGATTTGAGATACTTGCTCAGCTCACTGCTTCATGCATGACCAGTATTTTCTCTTCCAGCACTCTTTGTGGAAAGCAGTAGAAAGGGAAGCATAGTATCACGAGCGAACAGCATTGGCTCCACTAGTGCCTCCTCTGTCCCCAATACAGGTAAGGGCCATGGTGTCCCTTCTCCCTGTCTGTAGGTTAGTCCCTCCCTCAACTTGTCCAGCACTTAAGATGCTTTTGGTGCTCTTTCTCACTTATTTCTAACATGTGTTCTTCTCTGGCAAAAGCTGCTCACATGCAATCGCAGTAGCTTCCCTTGCCAGCTTGAGTATATATGTCTTTCATTCAGCAAAGGAGGATGGTGGGGAGCACCAGGAAGGTGTCGCAGTTTCCAACGAGACAGTTTAATAAGGCACTCCTGACTTGAGGCAAGGAGAAGAGTTAGTATGAACAAATGGCCTGGCTAACGGAAATACCATCAAGAGAGTACTGAGCACCTGCCCTCTGAAAGAAAAAGACCTTGGACTCCAGCTTCCTGCTTTAATGCCCAAGAGATCTTCTCATGAGAATCCTGCCTACATTAGCCAGGGGCTTTGGCAAAAATGTGTTGCCCAGCTGCCTACTCACACCATGCTCTGGTGTAGGCAGCTGCCAGCAGGCCTGCAATGGCTCTGGGAGGTTCATCTTTGCCTTGTTTGTGCCCTGTTTGCAGCTTGTCTACCCAGTCAGTAATTGTGTCTGGGTCTGGACCAGAGTGCATAAAATGATTCCAGGAAGAGCATGCTCCCCCATTACCTCTGCGCGTGCAGCTGCATGTCCGCCTCTGCTTCCTAGGCTCCAAAAGCGCCTGAGTTCTCTTTGACACAGTGACTCTTCCATTGCAGATGATGAAGACAGTGATTATCACCAAGAAGCCTATAAAGAGTCATACAAAGACCGGCGCAGGCGTGCACACACCCAGGCAGAGCAGAAGAGAAGGGATGCCATCAAGGTAACATCAGAGCAGCTATCAGACTGTTCTCTTGGATGGGAATACAGTTGTTCCTTTCCTTTTGTCACATACCTATAACGTGGGCATCCTGTGGTATCAGCATTCTTATTTCTCCCACATCGGGACACCCATATTCTTTTAGTTATCACAGTCACTGTGCCCCTAAATATTTGGCTTACTGGGGGCAGGTTATCAGCCCTGAGTAACTGCATCCTAGATGCCATATGAAGGAACTGGAGAGACAGCTGGGACTTTGGCAACTTATGAGACCACCTACTTGGCCACTGCCCTTCTGTCATGTGGTTTAATCTAAAAATGCCTGTAACATCATCTCTTCCTCTTGAACAGAAAGGCTACGATGACTTGCAGGCTATTGTGCCTACATGCCAGCAGCAAGATTTCTCCCTTGGCTCCCAGAAGCTGAGCAAAGCCATTGTCTTGCAGAAAAGTGAGTTGGGGGCAGAAAAGGGGCACATTCCTACCTAACCACTGCATCACATTGCATCTGTGCTGGGAATTCATGCTCCTGCAGCCACTGAGTGGGACACCAGCCATCCAGAACTAGACTGCAGTGAGGCAAGGGATGTCCCCACTTGCATTATTGTCCCCCACCCTCCATCTTTGGACTTTGAACTGCTGTTACTGTTTTTCTCAGGACTTCCTCAGCATTCTGCTCCCTGCTGCTTCTCTCAGCTGGCTCTGCAGTTTAACTCTCCCAAGCTCTTGCTGATGCCCCAAAACACTTCTGCACAAATAACTTTGCAGCAAGGGGTTGAAATGTACAGCAGTATCAATTGTCATTTGGTCTGAGGCCAGTTGCCTCCCTCCCCAACATTCCTCATTGTAGCTTAAGGGTATTTAAATCACTTGGGTTGAGGGAGGAGGTTGAACTAAGTGCCTAGAGCAGATTACCTCTTCATCCACCTTGATCCCCAGGTGTTTGACAGAGCACACTGCTGCTCCCTCTTCTCTGGACCTGGGTCTCCCTCTGCAAAGTGAAGCATTTTAGCAAATGCCTCTTTGAGACCAGAGAAGACTGGCTACTTGTCAGTTTGAATATGTAAGACCTACAGAGGTGTCAGTGCAGTGGTTTAATCCTGACAGGGCTCTAGCATCTGTACCTCCTGAGAAGAGACAGGATGCAGTGGCCTCTGGACTCTGCTTGCTTGAGTTTTCCTAAAGCCACTATCATCCCTTTGGTCTTTAGCCATTGACTATATTCAGTTCCTGCACAAGGAGAAGAAGAAACAGGAGGAGGAAGTTTCAACGCTCAGGAAAGATGTCATGGCCTTGAAGATCATGAAAATGTAAGGAACTTTCCTCCCCCACCTTTGCTTCCCGGGCCCTGGAAGTTGGAGACACTGTCATGGACTCTTATAAATAGAGCCTGGCACCCTTTTCTTCTTGCATGTCCATCTTAGGGCTGGTTCTCGACAAGCTGAACTTGACAACAGATCATAGTGGGAGGAGCATGACCTGAGCAAGGGACTCTTGACTCTGCTACTGGCCTCCCATCATATACAAAAGGAAGGGTCTCCATTTCTTTGCATGTATTTGGGCACTTCTACACATGCATATTAATGCACAGCAATAAACTCTGGTGCATATCTCTCCAGAGTTCATTGCTCACAGGCTTCATATTTACACATGCACCCAGGACTGCAATACATTGAGTTGGGTTGGAGCAGCCCCAGCTGGCAGAGGGTCCGGGGAGTCAGCCTATAAGCATGGAGCTGCTCTGATCCGGCTCAACTATGGAGGGGTACAAGAGTGCAGGGCTAGCTGGCAGACAGCTCCCACACTGAAGCACCCTCATGCCCCAACCAGGTCATCATTTGCATGGGCGTTGCTGCACGCAAAAAAACTTCTGCAGCAGAATAGTACTTGTATTTAAAAGTATTAACCTGCTGCAAAGTTTATTAGTTTCCTGCGGCCTGACATGGCTGCACACGTAGACACTGCAACATTTATTGCAGAGGTAATTAGGCGACTACAGCAAATGTCTCATGTAGATGCGCCCTTTTTCTACATGAGCTTAACTGCAAGATCTTTTGCCTTAGCCATACAACCAGCTTTAATCTTACAAGCAAAGCAAAGGCCCTTCAGAGGACAGTGCAGAACTTCCAGAGGCACCTCCCTAACTCATGTAACCTAAATGTGGAAAGTATGTCATGCAAGTGCTGGCTCCCCAGGCCTGCCATTTTAATCAGACTTCTTTGGTGCATTTCAGAAACTATGAGCAGATTGTGAAAGCTCACCAGGATAACCCCAATGAGGGGAAAGACCAGGTGTCTGACCAAGTCAAGTTTAATGTTTTCCAAGGCATCATGGATTCTTTGTTCCAGTCATTTAATGCCTCTGTCTCGGTAGCAAGTTTTCAGGAACTTTCAGCATGCGTCTTCAGCTGGATTGAGGAGCATTGCAAACCACAGGTAAGGAGCAGAGAGCCACAGTCAGTGTAATAAGCAGGGGAATTTTGGAAAGCCAAGCATCTGTAGCTTATTATAAATCACCCTGAGCTTTTCTAGGTAAGGGGGTGGGATATAAATCTAAATAATAGTAATAGATATTGGCAAATGCAAAGCAATGCAGATTGAACAGTGTATGTTAATTCTGTTTTCCTGGTCTCTGGATTCACCAACTGGGTATCATTGGGACAGCTCAGAGTGCTGGAGCAGCCACCAGAAACAGAGATCTTGGTCTGTTTAATGACAGGCCTTTGCTGGATATGGCATCCCATACCTGTGTCACCACTTAGAAGGCAGACAAAGAGCAAGTCCAGGGGAGCGAGGGAGAGAGATTAGCACTTTTGCTTCAGGGTACATACCAACTTCTTTCCACTGGGGAATAGAAAAAATCTTTTCCTAGGAGATGTTGGTGGTACAGCTGCCCAGTCAGTTCCTTTAAGAAGTTAGTATGTGCCCAGTCAGGTAGGATGGGAACTTGGTCTGATACAGACTGATGAGCCTCAGGTTCCCAGCAGTATTGAGGCACCAAAGCCACATACCTCACCAGGGTTTGTACTTGTACCAGCACTTAGCTACAGCTCTGCAGTCAGCCTGGCTGCCCTCAAGAGAGTGCCTCGGCCCATCTTACACTAGTACCTGGGGAAGCCTACCCAAAGGGAACGCTGTTGTTTCTACAGAATGGCTGATCCTGCCTCCTCCTTACTCTCCTCAGACCCTGCGGGACATTGTGATCGGGGTTCTACATCAACTAAAGAGTCAGCTCTATTGACTGCGCTCCCTGTGGTGCCCCAGTGGCATGAGCTTTCTTCCTCTTACCAGGCTACAGAAATGTGGGGCACCACTCAGCTGAGAGAGGAGCAGGTAGCAGGTTTCAGGAAAAGCTGGTCTGTTTCCCTTGTGGTTATTTGTAAAGTTTTTCTCTGGATTATTTATTGTATTAACTATGAAACCAAAACTGGGTATGTAAGTGCATGTCTTCTCCACAGATACTGTCACAGTCTGTATCACCAAAGTATCTGTAGGGACTGAGTCAGCAGAGAAGGGAAAACATATCTGTTAAATACAATCCTCCTTGTCACAAGGAAGGAAAGGGTCTCTGGGCCAGGGTTGTGAGGCACTGAGTAGGCCTAGCCTGTACCAGCTACAGGAGCTAAAGTGGTGAGATGAGTCTGCTCTGTAGCCTTCAGATTACCTGTTCTGTTCTGGTGGCAGTGCCTGCAATATAACTGTTGCCTGGACCACACAGCACTTCCTGCATTTTAGACTTTCAAACCAGTAAGATGCCAGCCTTAAGTATCATACTCTACAATGTAGTTATTCAGTGAGTACCTTGGCACTGTAGAGTTTGAGATGAAGAGGCAGTGGCAGTGAGAATTTGTGTTGCATTACATTACATTTATATCCAGCCATTACAGTGCTGGACTTTAAAAGCATGTGAATGGAAGCAGAGCAGCTCTAAAATTCTAGACCCCAAGACAAAGGATGTGAATCACCCTGGCAGTCCAGGAAAGAAGCTGACTTCCACTAAGGAGGGTTAAGGATAAGCTTCCCTGGAAGTAGGGTGTCTCATCACTGCAGACTTTGACAGCTTCTGTAGCAGCTGATACTAGCTTCTCAGAGACAGGCCACTGCTTTCTTCTAGAACAGTTTGGTTATTTAATCTAGCCATGGGACAGAGGATCACTTATTTGCACAGAACTTTCAGAAAGACAACAGAAAGCAAGCTAGGTGGGGTTGGCCAAATCCTGCTGCAACAAGAGGGTCTTAATACCAAACAGCATGGAAGCTGCCTCTCCCCACTGGGCAGATATGGATGGTGTAGGGCTTCTCTGGGACAGCTGCTAACTGACCTTTCCCACTCTAGCCATGTTTCCTTCACAGTGAAATAGGAGTACAGTTTTCTGTACAGGCTTCTCTTGCCATCTCAGTTCAACTGCTGAAAGATCTCTGGTTTCATCTGACTTGAGTTTCTGATAGTCACAATGTATGGGGAAAAAGAATGGTGCATGTAGCAGAGCTGCTGTCAATTTTAATCTGCTTTTTTTTAGAAGTGTAGTTTTATATTTAAAAAAAATACCTCTTGCCTTTTGTAAGTCAAGGAAGTCAGACTGAAGTGTTATTAACTTGAGTTTTGCAGCCAAATACTTTTTCTGGGAGAGACTTTAGCCAGGCACCCACTGCTCTCAGTCTAACAGTCATATCTTTGGCAGATACTTGGCAGCTGTCTACTAACAAAGTAATAGTTCTTTATCACCCAGACAGAGTGAAAGGATTGGAATTATCCTGAAGTGGCTTTTACAGAATATGCTCACTGATGATCATATTCCTACCACCATGCTCAAATTAGTAGCAGTAACAATTTTGCATTTCTTTATCTTAGAATTCTTTAGCAATAAAAGGTAGGTTTCCAGTGTCAGGCTAGTTGCTTTAAACACGGAAGCAGAAGGATAGTGTTTAAACCACTCTTTCTACTGAAATTTAGTAAAGGAAAAATTACTGTCAGTCTTGGATTTTACTAAAAGAATCATTTCTCCAAGCCTTGCATTGAATGTCCCTTTTCAGTGAAGACACAGCATAGAGCCCTAAAGAGTCTAACTCTTTGCAATGACACATGTAACTGTTTAAAGAGAATTATACACCATAAGGGCCATTAACAATATGGCTGCATTACAGAAGCGTGTGCCCATTGCTGTGCTGTAAAGAAAATATCCTGTTTGAAGCAATAGGCAGTGCTTTACTGTTAATGATAGTGACATGTGTTACTCTCTTCTGAGCCTCCTTCAGAAGCAGCCAGCTTTCTTGTGTGGAAGAACCTTGGGCTTTTGCAGACCTCACAAATGGAAATGAAATATTTTTCTATCGTGAAAAGTAATTATAATAAATTTTGCTAAATGTTTTAATTATTCTTCTCCTTGTTTTCTTCCACTACTGAATAACTAGAATCTTCCACCTAGGATCACATGGTAGAACTGTTTTTTCAAAAGCAACTAGGTGATATTTGGATGCCCATTTTGACAATTGCTGTTCGGGCTTCTATATTAGAATCACCCACATCCACCCAATCTGAAGTGGTGGCATGATCTCCCCATCCAAGTATGTTTTACTATTTTCAGTGTCATTTAGGCCAAACTACACCCCATCCATCAGGAAGGCTCCCAAAACCCCAGATTAACTGGGAAGCCTCTCCTATACTACCACAACATGCAGCATGAGACAAGGGGACATTAGAAGAGGGTGTATCACTGAAGGGAAGCACAGCTAAAATGAGAAGCACAGTGTTTAATGAATTATACTCCTGTGTATAGCATTACGGCATGGTACACATCATGGGAAGCAGTCCCTGCTCACTATTAAATACACTGAGGTGTCAGTACAGCTCTCTGCAAGTGTAATAAACAACTGGTTTATTTAGTCTTTCCTAGGCACACCCCTCCTCCCTCTTACTAGAACACCTACTTGGTGGCAAATCAACAGTAAAAAGTCTTCTCCCACATGACTCTTCAGCCACACTGGCTCAACTGCCCATTGCAATGAAGGGTAGAAAAAATAATGGACTCTTCTGCATGCGAGATCATGCCTTTGGTCCTATCCCCTCTAACTGCCTTCCAGATTGCAAAGCATTTTAAAACAAACATACATAAAAGATGCAGGACAAAACCAAACCCTGCAGATGATTGTGAGTTTCAGAACCAGCGCCCATTGTGCTCCATGCTGGCTAGTTCTTTTCCCTGGAGCAGAGGTTTCCATCAGCTGCTCAGACAGCTGCTGGCAGAGTCACATTGTGGTCCTCATCCGTTTCTATTCCAACTTCCTCCTGCAGAAAAATAACATAGCTTCTTTACCAAGGACTAGAAGGCGAGTTACTTGCTGTGCAGCAACATCTGAATTCAGAAAAAAGGCTCCCTTCAGGGACTTGCTCAGAGTTACATTGATTGAAACAAATATACCCTACCACGGACAGATACCTTCAAAGTTTAGGACTAGTCAGGAGCACAGATGCCTTTGTACTTACAAAGAACTGTTTCTTGCTTTTGGGATAGCCTTCCAGAATTGCATCGAGTAGTTCAGTTGCCTGGCAAAACAATAGTTAAGAATCAGTTATGCTTCTTCAGTCAACACAAACATTTAAAAGTCAAATCTGGAGAGTCTTGCTATACACTTTCAAAAGGATGGAGGCTTCCCAGGATAAGAACTCTACTTTGCATTTTCCCAGGGATGTATGTGGTAGCCGTGTTGATCTCAGACAAATACATCCCTGAAACATGGAAGATGCCATATTTTAGCCTATTTTCGAATTATAAATCTCATTGCTTAAACAAGAAAGATTTTTACACCTCCCTGCCTTTCTACTATCTGACACCACCAGGGAAGAAATCCTGCCTTATCTGTACATCAAAGAGCAACTCACACAAAGGAACTCTCATGGACCCAGAGGAACATACATCCATCTTCAGCTTCCTCTTTGCAAAATGAAAGTGTTTATTTTCTACCTAAGGAAACTTTTATCATCCTTAATTTTCCCTCAGCCTGAAGAAGGGCATGGTGCCCAAAAGCTTGTAAAGAAAGGTAATGTTTTTATGATTTCTTAGTTGCTCTAATAAAAAATATCATCTCTGAACCAAGAGGTTTAGGGTTTTGCATATTCCCAGGAAGACTCCAGCACATGGGGGGAAATATCAAGTTAAGCACTCAAGTGTGGCTATGGGTTAATAGACACTACAAGGAAATGGCTACCAAACAACTAGAAGGCTCTTCTTCCCTTATACATTTCAAGACACTATGTGCTGATTATTTGCTTTCTTTGCAATTACACACCGATGCATTTAGGAGGAACTAAAGGACTAAAACCCCCAAACAAGCTGACCCTAGCAAGTGGCAAAATAAGTTGTCCCTGGAAAACCAAAGATGCTGATTTGGAGGTTTGCCTCGCTGTTAATACCCCGACTGAGTATTCGATTCACTGGAGTTAAACACTGGTACCCTAAAAGACTACAGTTCTTTTGACCTCTGACTTCCAAGATCTGTTCCCTCAGATACCCATTAGCACTTCCAACCCTACAGACCTGGTGATGGAAGCTAGCTTGCAACACCATTAGAAGAGGGGATGTGGCATTGTTTGTACCAATTTTGCCATCTGAAATGGCACCAGAGAAGTACCAAGTATCACTACTTCAAGATAAGCAGGTTCTGAGGTTCTCTGAACTGCTGATCCTTGGTTAGATTTTCCAGTTCCCTTCACAGCTGGCAGGCTACTGAAGGAAGCTGGAGCTGGCTAACACCAAGTTCAGGGCTGCTGCACATGTCATTCAGCAACAGGCACCTTCCCCCATGAGAATATAACATCACCTCATGCGCATCATTGCCACCACCCACTGCCCATCAAACCAACATTGGGAAAAAAGTCACTACCATTCTCTTCCTCCTCCTCCATTCTTTACAGTATAGCTTTCTCTCGTTATAAACCTGCAATGAAAAAAAAAAAGACTGAGCGAGTAACATTAACCCAATAGCTCCCCCAAAAAGAACAAGTGTGCATAAGGCCAGCAGGACATTTCCAGAGAGATATCATAAAATTAGACCCAGGTATAGTGAAATTCCTACTTAATGTTAAGATGCCCAGGTACAGACAATACAGGCCACTGCTTGATAGAGGGAAATGCTTCCAAGCAGACTGTTTAAGTGGATAGTTTCAGAGGTGAAAATGCAGAACTATATTAATAAAAATTGCCTTAGTTGCAGCCCAAAGTTAAGGTTCACAAGGAAGAGTTGCTCTGGAGTGTCTATGAAATGCCGCACAAACAAAGCTCATGCATGGTGAATGGTCTGCAAAGGACACTAGGGAGCAGGACAATTCCAAGACCTTGGGCTCTGGCTTTCCCTCCACCAGGCTGCAGTTAGCTGTACTTGGGGCAGAAGATCACTTGAGCACATCTAGTAGGAATGGCCAGGTAGTATCAGAGCCTAGAGATGATGCCATTAAGAGGCACAGCTGTATCTTACACAGGAGCATCTAGACATCAACTGAGAAGAGAATAGTCCACAATGGAGTTTCAGATATCTCCCACCACCTCTTCAATCCTTCAGTACTCAAAAGTCAACCATGAAAGATTTATTGCCCTCCCCCAGCATTCAGGCTCCTACACAAGTTAAGGAGGATAGCAGCTGTGATGTCAGCAGAAGCAGGAGCTAGAGCGGTTTTAAAGCTAGAGATTATTTAATAGTATCCAAGTAGTACTGAGCTGGGCTCTCTGCTTCGGTATTCTTAAGGCCACAGCCTGATCCAGCTCTTTACCTTCTCTTTTTCTTCAGGAGTCACATGGTTGGCTGCAGATTTAATTCTCTCCAGTTTTTCCGTGTAATTCGCGCAATCTTTTTTTAACTCTTCAATCTCTTTAATCATCTCTGGGGTTGTCATTGAGCCATTCAGATCCTTCAGTTCTGGAATGGAATTGCTAGTTATCCACGAATGCCAACAGCTGGAGGGCAATAGTTAGCATTCGTGCCTGCACAAAGCCACAAGCCATACTGGTTCCAGCCTTATAAAGGTTTCACCACACACTTCATGCTGGCCTCACAGACAAAACTAATCTACACATACACAGGATCAGAAATTTCAGACTCACCCAATTCCATCTGGCGGCAGCTTTGTTGAAGAGTTTGTACTTTTGAAGAAAGATCAGAGATTTCATTGTCCAAGACTTTAAGCTCAGAATCACTCACTGCGGGAAACTGATTCTGAGACAAAAAACAATGAGCTAGTTACAGAAAACAAGTCCCCTTGAAAATATTCCACGCGATCACCAACACCGTTTGCAAATAACAAGCTTAGGTCCTTTTCTTCCAACTGCGTTTACCTCCGAATTAATCATGGAAGTGTCAATACACTCACAAGTGTATGATCCTCCCCAGAGAGTGGTGTTTCTGCACCTCAGAGGAGTTCATTGCAATGCAGAACAATTGCTAATAAGTGGGTTAGACTGGCATCTCTTTAATATTAACAGAAGGTGCAAAGAGAGCATTAAACAGCCCATTTAAGGTTAGTAAGCTGGTGACCTGCCTTCATTTTTAACAATTAATATAGAACAGGGGCATCAAACTCCCCTGTGCCCCAGGCCAGATCTGCACTGTGGGGTTCGTTGTGGACCAGACCAGGACAGGCCTGGTGCAGACCGCATGTGACCAGCAGGAGCAGTGGCAATAAAATAAGCATGAACACAGCCTGCGCTCACCCTACTGTCACAGGTGCCCCCCCACCACAACTTCCAGCATGCTGGATGAAGTGTCTCGGTGGGACAGGCCACGTTTGACCCATCTGAATGGGATACACAAAAGAGCCCACGCTGCTCTGGGCTGTCAGACAAGCCACCTGTGCCCAGATGCTGCCCACGCTCTGGTCTGACACTACTTTGTACACTGAATAGCTATGGAAATCAACACTCTTACAACCCATGCAGCCTCCGCAGCAGCAAGAGCAAGGGCAGCTGTATGAAGAAAGAGAAGAGGACACGAGAAGAAAGAGCAGAGGTGGCCACAGGCAAAGCTGGCCCTCACATGACAGAGGTGCGTTTTCTGGAGACCCAGTGGCACCCTCACCTGGTCGGGGAAGTAGATTTTCTGCTTCCCGTAGACCTTCTCCTTGATCTTCCCTTGCTGCGCCAGCTGCTCCAGCGCCTTCACCACGGCCTGGTGCGAGAGAGAGCGGGG